CTACGGAACCACCCCATTCACCCCCTCCTCCACTCACCCCCTACTCACCACTCACCCCCCACTCACCACGCACCCCCCACTCACCACTCACCCCCCACTCACCACTCACCCCCCACTCACCCCCCACTCACCACGCACCCCCCACTCACCACGCACCCCCCACTCACCACTCACCCCCCACTCACCACTCACCCCCCACTCACCACGCACCCCCCACTCACCACTCACCCCCCACTCACCCCCCACTCACCACGCACCCCCCCCCCTCCACTCACCCCCCCTCCACTCACCCCGCACCCCCCACTTACCCACCCCCCTAACCCCCACCTCCAAAAACGGAACGCGACTACGGGTAGCCCGGAGATCCACCCCGCGCGCACGTGTTGTCAACGTGGAACGCGTTTGCTAAATGTTCAGCATCAGTGTCGTCGTCGACTTTGATCCACTGCTGGATGAAGGTCACCTTTTCCGAAGGGGGGGGGAGGGTGTGGATGCGAGTCGCTATCCCCGCGATGCGATGACAACAATAAGCTGGCGGTGACGTCACCACGGCGCTTGTGCCAGGCTAGGTGCACCTGAGCAAGGGATTTGATTTTATTCTCTGATTGCCCCATCTCTGCGTGCTCTCCTCTGGCACAGCGAGGGAGCCGCAGGCTGGTGGTGCATCTGCCCAGCCATCTCAACCCCACGGGACCTCCTGAGTCTGGTCCCGTGACCTCCTCCTCCTGCCAGCCAGCGAGCCTTCGACACTTCACGTGACAGCCTCAAAGTGCACCTACCCTGGCACAGGCGACACTTGGTGGCTAATGGTGGTTGTCGTTGGCTGTATCCTCCTTAGGCTGCAGCTCAGACATTCGTCTTGACCGCAGCGATGTAAGGGCGCTACGGTGAAAAAAATGTTAACTGCCTCGCCCGGTATGCAGGAGGTCGTGGGTTCGATGCCGACCCTGATGATGCCTGCCTGCTGCTGTATATTTGGAGTTTGCGTCTCTCTCTACACGTGGTCGCGTGGATATTAATCCATTGCCCTCTGGGGTTTTCCCTCCACATTCAGAGTATTTGGCTGCTATAAATGTCCACATGACGAGCCACTTCGTTGAGCGATCATTTGTGATGGCCAGGTGGCTTCTGAAAAACAAGAGTTACATAGCTCAGTGGCCCTTACCTGATAACATAAAAAAAAAGTTTAAGGTTTTGTTTTATACGTGTCCTGCTCAATCACCCTCCGATTTACTGGACATGTGGAAAAAGAGCTTTATAGCTCATCTGATTCCTCCAGTATACATTCTGATTCCTACAATGACATGTAAGCGTCACATGTTCTTGAATCTAACTTTCTGACCCCGTGCCCCTACCGGACACCTGTGAAAAAAGCTTCGGAGCTCATCGGATTCTTCCGGTCCACATCAACTCCTCATTCACTCTTAATACAAGTCAAAGCATGCTCCTCTGCACTCTCGGAAGAAAGCAATAACCAACGGAAGACTTTGAAGAAAAAAAACAACTCTTGATCGCTTCATCATTATTTCTCCCCCCCCCTCCCCCCACAGATGGCCACACATTCAATAAAAAAAAATCCACTTCCTTCGTACGCTTAACCCAGCCTAACGCACCCAAGTCCCCACTTTTAAATGTGGCGACGTCACGTTCCGAGGGTTTTCAAAAGTTTGTTCCAAACGGACCCAGCAATAAAGGCCTGCGACTTTTTTTAAGGGGGTACGATACGTCTCGTCACCTCGTCGGCGTCGAGCGTAATAAACAAGAACACGACAACATTATTTTGAGCAGACGGTTGCACCCGCAGTTAACCTCGAGCTTTATTTAAACGATTCGCCGTCATCGCCCAACGCAACAATGTATGAAAACGACGCCAAACCTCCCAACAACCGCGATGGAACAAACGAAACGAAACAAAAAAACGTGTCGCGAGACTCGAGCTAAAACCCATCCAGCGCAAAAAAAGATCGTTTCGAGCACTACACCTTGAGCAAGTCACCATGGGTTAAACATTAACCCAATCTCATCAAACTTTTCAACTAAAGTTAATTGTCTTTATTTGTTCCGGGTCAAGATCCACTCATGAGCGACCTCGCCATCACAAACGACGACAGCGCAGCCAAGCGGCGGCGGCCTATCGTCGTCGTCACGTGGAAGTGTATGGCAGCGGAATACGCTCTTAGACGCGCGACGTCGATTCCAAAGTCCAAACGTGGAAGCAAAAAACCACAGGACTCGGGAGAAAAACCCATGCGACCACGGGGAGAGAGACACGGAAACGAAAACTATACAGCAGCAGGCGTCAGGCTAGGGATCAAACCCACGACCTCCTGTGTACCAGGCGAGGAAGTTAACATCTCACCCCCCGCGGTGCCCTAGCAAATGTGAAGAACCCGCCCTGATCTGTGTTCCTTCCTGGCGCTCGCTGGTGCGGATTTCCCTCGGAACTCGGAGGCACCGTGATGGTGAGATGTTAACTGCCTCACCTGGTACGGCAGGAGTCCGAGGTGGGCTCGTACCTGCTCTATATTGGGAGTTTGCCTGTCTCCCTCTATCCCCGTGGTCGCGTGGAATTTTTTTGTTATCCGTTACCCTTGGATTTTTTTCCCTCCACATTCAGAATGAGCGTGCGTTTGGAGTATTTGGCTGCTGCTTTAAACGTCCACGTGATAGGCCACTCCCCGTTGAGCCATCACTTGTGATAGCCAGGTCGCTTCTGCGAAATAACTAATTGGCTCAATGGGCCTTACCCTGGTAAAATAAAAAAGTTTCCTAGTTTTTTGTTGTTAGGGCTGGACTCAAGTTACTTTTAGTCCACTGGTCAAAGCAGAAAAATCGGTAACCACCGCCAAGGTAGCAAAAAAAAAAACCCCTCGTGATGACTTATTCGGCTAATTAAAAAAGTTTGAAGTGTTTGATAACCCACTCGTCGCCCCGAAAATTCGCCGTCGCGTAATTCACCGCCCCGTCCCGTCACTCAGGGCGACGTCACCCCTCAGCTGCTTACAGCCGAGTGGAAGATCTGGCCTTGAGCTCACGGGGGGGAGCACGTGTCCAGGGATGTGTCCAGGGATGTGTCTCAGCAGTGTGGGGGGGGGAGGAGTTTCTCCCTTTTCCCGTGTTCCCCTGCCTCGATCGCCACCCAGCCTCACCCCGCGCCCCCACCCCCGCCCCCTTTAACCTCACTCCCTTTTTAGCTTCACTTTAACTTTGGTAAAGCGTCCTCAGCGTTAACCCTTGCCCTGCCACACAGCTCGGGAGTGGGGAATTTATGGGAGTGAATATTGTGGTTCATCACCGGATCACACCTGCGTGTGCGCACAGAGTGCATGCACCCGTATGTGTGTGTGTGTGTGTTATTGAGTAGCGCTACATGGGTGTTAACTGTGTGTGCACGCGTGTCTGCAAATGTCCGAGTGTGTGTGTGTGTGCGTGCGCACGCGTTAGATGGGTTTGATCTTAAAGTGGAGTCCGATGAGACTGAACACGAGACACTTGAGGTCCTGGACGAGGTAATAGAATACACGGAGCCCGTCCGAATCCCTGGGAGACACGGGGAGACAAAGGCAAAGCGAGAGGGGATGGAACAGACACGCACACACACGTAAATAAATACATCAATAACAACCCTCATTTGCCACTCGTGGTGGTTGACATCACGATAGCGTCTGTGCCAGGTGAGGTGCACGGCTCTGTGAGTGAGTGGGACTCTCACTTGGACTGGTTGACGTCGATGAGCGAGCCGATCTTGGAGGTGGTGAAGGAAATGTGCTCATCGCCAATCACGATCTCCAGCTCCTGTGTGCCGGCAAGGGCGTGAGAGAGATGAGGAGAGAGAGAGGGGGAGAGAGAGAGAGAGTTGATGAGAGAGAGAGGGGGAGAGAGAGATGAGGAGAGAGAGTTGAAGAGAGAGATGAAAGATGAGAGAGAGATGAGGAGAGAAAAATGAGAGGGGGAGGGGATGAGAGATGAGGAGAGAGAGGGAGATGAGGAGAGAGTTGATGAGAGAGAGAGGGGGAGAGAGAGATGAGGAGAGAGAGTTGAGGAGAGAGATGAAAGATGAGAGAGAGATGAGGAGAGAAAAATGAGAGGGCGAGGGGATGAGAGATGAGGAGAGAGAGAGGGGATGAGAGATTCAAAGACAAAAGATCCCCCCGTATAGCCTTAACAGCCTGACGGGGGGAAATTGCTGTTCGCGAGTAGCACCTATGAAGGCTGGCACGGCACACACGAGGGAGTGGGTGGCCAGGACCACGCCCGGCCGCCTTTGTCTCCCCAGTGGCGATGTTTACGAACTACAGGTCCTTATTTTCGGCTGAGTCGACTTAGTGGACGCCCAGGACCGGTTCAGTCATCATCACTGGTGTTGGCTGTGAGCGGGAATCGAACTTGAGTCGCCGGGCTCTTCGCGCAGCGCGCTAACCGCTGCGGTGTATCACCCCCGTGTCTCCCACACGTCTCCCACGTGTCTCGCCAGCACATCTACCCCCGTGTCTCCCACTGTGTCTCTCCCCCCGTGCCTACTCCCTTGTCTCCCACTGTGTCTCTACCCGCATGTCTACCCCCATGTCTCCCCAGTGTGTCTTCCCGTGTGGGTCTCGCTATAGTTCCTTCCATGGGTCCCGTGTCTCCCAATGAGTCTCCCTACGTTTCTCCATTTTGTATCGCCCAATGTGTCTCCCCGCAGCGTCTCTCCACCGTGCGTCTCTCCCAGGGTGTCCCAGTGCGTCTCTCCCCGGGTGTCCCAGTGCGTCTCTCCCCGTGTGTCCCAGTGCGTCTCCCCGTGTGTCCCAGTGCGTCTCTCCCCGGGTGTCCCAGTGCGTCTCTCCCCGTGTGTCCCAGTGCGTCTATCCCCGGGTGTCCCAGTGCGTCTCTCCCCGGGTGTCCCAGTGCGTCTCTCCCCGGGTGTCCCAGTGCGTCTCTCCCCGGGTGTCCCAGTGCGTCTCTCCCCGTGTGTCCCAGTGCGTCTCTCCCCGGGTGTCCCAGTGCGTCTCTCCCCGTGTGTCCCAGTGCGTCTCTCCCCGTGTGTCCCAGTGCGTCTCTCCCCATGTGTCCCAGTGCGTCTCTCCCCGGGTGTCCCAGTGCGTCTCTCCCCGGGTGTCCCAGTGCGTCTCTCCCCGTGTGTCCCAGTGCGTCTCTCCCCGTGTGTCCCAGTGCGTCTCTCCCCGGGTGTCCCAGTGCGTCTCTCCCCGTGTGTCCCAGTGCGTCTCTCCCCGTGTGTCCCAGTGCGTCTCTCCCCGTGTGTCCCAGTGCGTCTCTCCCCGGGTGTCCCAGTGCGTCTCTCCCCGTGTGTCCCAGTGCGTCTCTCCCCGGGTGTCCCAGTGCGTCTCTCCCCGGGTGTCCCAGTGCGTCTCTCCCCGGGTGTCCCAGTGCGTCTCTCCCCGTGTGTCCCAGTGCGTCTCTCCCCGGGTGTCCCAGTGCGTCTCTCCCCGTGTGTCCCAGTGCGTCTCTCCCCGTGTGTCCCAGTGCGTCTCTCCCCGTGTGTCCCAGTGCGTCTCTCCCCGTGTGTCCCAGTGCGTCTCTCCCCGTGTGTCCCAGTGCGTCTCTCCCCGTGTGTCCCAGTGCGTCTCTCCCCGTGTGTCCCAGTGCGTCTCTCCCCATGTGTCCCAGTGCGTCTCTCCCCGTGTGTCCCAGTGCGTCTCTCCCCGGGTGTCCCAGTGCGTCTCTCCCCGGGTGTCCCAGTGCGTCTCTCCCCGTGTGTCCCAGTGCGTCTCTCCCCGTGTGTCCCAGTGCGTCTCTCCCCGTGTGTCCCAGTGCGTCTCTCCCCGTGTGTCCCAGTGCGTCTCTCCCCGTGTGTCCCAGTGCGTCTCTCCCCGGGTGTCCCAGTGCGTTTCTCCCCGTGTGTCCCAGTGCGTCTCTCCCCGGGTGTCCCAGTGCGTCTCTCCCCGTGTGTCCCAGTGCGTCTCTCCCCGTGTGTCCCAGTGCGTCTCTCCCCGTGTGTCCCAGTGCGTCTCTCCCCGTGTGTCCCAGTGCGTCTCTCCCCGTGTGTCCAAGTGCGTCTCTCCCCGTGTGTCCCAGTGCGTCTCTCCCCGGGTGTCCCAGTGCGTCTCTCCCCGTGTGTCCCAGTGCGTCTCTCCCCGTGTGTCCCAGTGCGTCTCTCCCCGGGTGTCCTAGTGCGTCTCTCCCCGGGTGTCCCAGTGCGTCTCTCCCCGGGTGTCCCAGTGCGTCTCTCCCCGTGTGTCCCAGTGCGTCTCTCCCCATGTGTCCCAGTGCGTCTCTCCCCGTGTGTCCCAGTGCGTCTCTCCCCGTGTGTCCCAGTGCGTCTCTCCCCGTGTGTCCCAGTGCGTCTCTCCCCGTGTGTCCCAGTGCGTCTCTCCCCGTGTGTCCCAGTGCGTCTCTCCCCGTGTGTCCCAGTGCGTCTCTCCCCGGGTGTCCCAGTGCGTCTCTCCCCGTGTGTCCCAGTGCGTCTCTCCCCGTGTGTCCCAGTGCGTCTCTCCCCGTGTGTCCCAGTGCGTCTCTCCCCGGGTGTCCCATTGCGTCTCTCCCCGTGTGTCCCAGTGCGTCTCTCCCCGTGTGTCCCAGTGCGTCTCTCCCCGTGTGTCCCAGTGCGTCTCTCCCCGTGTGTCCCAGTGCGTCTCTCCCCATGTGTCCCAGTGCGTCTCTCCCCGGGTGTCCCAGTGCGTCTCTCCCCGTGTGTCCCAGTGCGTCTCTCCCCGTGTGTCCCAGTGCGTCTCTCCCCGTGTGTCCCAGTGCGTCTCTCCCCGTGTGTCCCAGTGCGTCTCTCCCCGTGTGTCCCAGTGCGTCTCTCCCCGTGTGTCCCAGTGCGTCTCTCCCCGTGTGTCCCAGTGCGTCTCTCCCCGTGTGTCCCAGTGCGTCTCTCCCCGTGTGTCCCAGTGCGTCTCTCCCCGGGTGTCCCAGTGCGTCTCTCCCCGGGTGTCCCAGTGCGTCTCCCGGCGTCTCTCGGCCGTGCCCCAGCACCTGTCGCCCGACGCGGTCGGGTGGCGGCCACATGGAGTCGTCCTCCTTGGTGACCTCGCTGTCCTCGATGATTCTTTTCAGCTCCTCCATCACCGACTTGTGCACGTACGCCTTAGGCACACACAGTCGTCACCGTCACCCACCGACCGATCCACCGCTGGATATAATTGCCTCCTGCACATGAGCCGATTCTAGGGGAAGAACTCCCGAACATCGGATAAATGATCCTTATGGCGTAACCCGGGGTACCAAATAATACGAAATGGCCGAGGCAATTAAATATGTTATTTCTGGGACACGATTTTGTCCAGGGGTGTACTTCACTCCGCGACTGGGGCACCAATCAATCCAAATTCAGTGCTACTCCGCGATGTCTAAACGCCAAACATTAGCATAAAAAAAATACGTTATCGAAAAATGTCGCACAGTGCATCGTGTACAGCTCGTTGACATGAGTCGATTGCCGCATCGCCGACCATCAACGGACTAAAAATGACTGCATCACGGAAATTATGCGAGAGCCGGGGTACTACGGTACCCTGGGGTACAGCCATAAGGTTCAAATGTAACTGTGGACACCATCAAAGATCCCCGTGTAGCCTCTAACAGACTGTCTGGGCAAGTGCTGTTAGCGAGCACCTATACAGGCCGGCACGCCACACAAGGGGGTTGGTGCGTGGCCAGCCCCACGTCCGGCCGTCTTTTGTCACCCCAAGTGGCGATAGTTTACACACCGCACCCAGATACTCATTTGAGGCTGAGTCGACTTAGGGGATGCCCATGACCGGTTCAGATAATCGTCACTGGTGTTGGTGGCCGTGAGCTGGAATCTCTGCCAGGTCCGTAGCGCGGCGCGCTAACCTCTACACGACCGCCGTCCACACCACCCCTGCCAACTCAACCACTGGCAGTCAATTTAGGCCGAGTCAACCCAGGGGAGGGCCAAGCCAGCAGTAGATTCTGATACGACGGGGTGGTGGTGGTGTGGACAGCACAACATCGCACACCTACCTACCCACCCGCCGCCTTTGCCTCCCTGGCTCAAAACCTGTGTGTAGCACAGCGCGCTAACCGCTACAGTACCGCTCCCCACGAAGATAAATACAGGCTCCCCTCTAGTTACGAAGATTCGACTTCCGAACTTTCAGAGATACGAACAAACTTGTCCCTATGTCCAGTTGCCTGTTCGGTAGAGATGTAAGCTCAGCCGCCGTGCTATAGATGGCGGAGGTTGTTTGGTGTCGTTACCCAGCATTCCTGCCAGGGCTGCCATCATTATCTGCTTTTCCGTTGTTGCTTTGCGGTTCACTACTACGTTCTGTGTGTCTTTCACGAACTTTATCAACCCCCATCATGTCTCAGTAGTAAGAAGAACCAGTGGCATCTACATCTGCAGAACGTGAAGACACCAGTAGCATCTACATGAGATTATACAACTTTTAAAGCCATTCCACATGTTTAGTGTATACGATTGGAATCGACGGGAGTAAAGATGGACTTGCGAACGAATCAACTTATGAACAGACACCTTCTGGAACCTAACTCGTTTGTAAGTAGAGGAGTCCCTGTACACACGGATATAGAGGCACACCACGCAGCGTTTGCCTCACCTCTTTCCTGATCATCACGTCATTCTTGTAGTTGCTGTTGTTGGCGTACCGAAGTTTACCTACGGTGTAGGGCAGCCACAGGTGGGTGGAGGAGTGGTGGTGCGGGTAGAAGGGGGAAGACGAAACACACGCGTGTGAGATTCCACACTCGAAGGTTGCAGGACGAAACCACATTTAACACAAATGTTGTGTAAAAAAAAAAAAAGACAAGGTTTTTCAATGCAGAATTAATCACATTTTTGATGCGCTGAATAAAAGTGGGTGGCTTCCTTTCGATACGCTTAATTTTCTTCATGAGCGCATCAAATTCAGAATTTACAAGAATTTAGTTTGCACTTTTGAGTGAAAACAAAAGTGTGTCCATTGATCGGTAGGCGGGAGGGAAGACGTGGACCGGTGTCTAAAAATGAAATCTTGAATTGTCACGCAAAAGACGACGAAGAGGTAGTCTGCACGTGTACAAAGGTTTCGGCTCGTTGGGCTTCGTCGTATCCGAAGACATTCAGCGTCAAAGATTTTAAAAGAGTATAAGAAGAGATCAGGGCAAATTTCGATTTAAAGCTTTCGTGACTGCAATGATTCATCTTCTTTGGTTCTTTCGGTAAAGTCACCACGTAGAATGAGAATAAAATAATAAATTGATAAAATAAAATAACACAATAATATTCTCACGACGTTTCGGCCACAACACAAGCGGCCTTCATCAGGTGATCAGGTGATGAAGGCCGCTTGTGTTGTGGCCGAAACGTCGTGAGAATATTATTGTGTTATTTTATTTTATCAATTTATTATTTTATTCTCATTCTACGTGACTTTACCGAAAGAACCAAAGAAGACATCAGGGCAAGTTAAATAAAAGCGTGCAAACTAAAGTATCTCTGGCCTGGACGCCGACACCGATGCACACGCGAAACTTAGTGGTGCAAACTCCCCACACACGTTCCTCGGTAACACCGTGGTAGCCAAAATATAGAACAGGCGACGTTTGTGGCAGGGGCCCTTCTTCACAGCGCTTAATGTAGAGAGGTAAACATTTTTTTTTAAAACATGCTGCCTTGAAAGGGAACATATATTTGGTCGGTTGCCCGAAACGTCGCCTATTATGTATATTAAATTGTTCTCCACTTTAAAGGCCACGCTGTTGTCGATGGACGTGTTGAGTTGTTGTTCTAGCCCTTTGAACAACAACAAAAAAAAGACGCGAGTTTGGAAGAATTACAAATGGGTTAGGCTGAAAAAAAACACGCGGTTAGTCTACGGAAATGTGAGCGGTATAGCTCACTCCAGCGCTGTCCTCCAGTCTCGTCCCTTCACCTGATGAAGGCCGCTTGTGTTGTGGCCGAAACGTCGTGATTTTTTGTTATTTTAATTTCACCTACGTGACTTTACCCAATAGAACCAAAGAGTACGGTATAGAAGCTGCCAGCGCAAACACAAAAAAGCCTCTTGATCTGAACCCTTAATAATGAAGCCCATTCTGTTATGGCTCAGTGGATCATAACAAATCCTCAACACAGCCACGCTGCTTTTGCTGCTCAAGTCTCAATACGGCATCTCACGCGCTTTTTTTGCAGGGTGGTCCAGATGTCGCGACTTACGAACCTTCAGAGATAATTCTCTAAAATGTATTTTTTGTGAACGGTTCATTTAAAACAAAAATTAATAAGCAAAGGAGAAAAAAAAAATCGATGTTCAGGGTAACTCGGGGGCGACAAAACATGTGGAGCACCCTGTACATTAAAACTAAACACATTTCGTTTCACCAGGTAAGAGCTATGGAGCTACATCGCTCTTTTTCAGAAGCGAGGGGTCAGGGTCGAACCCACCACGACCTCTTGTATACCGGGCGAGGTAATTAACATCGCCTTGCCACCGTGATGATGATGAGACTCCAAATCTACAGCAGCAGCAGCAGGCATCGTCTGGGTCGGGATCGAACCCACGACCTCCTGTACACCAGGCGAGGCACTTAACATCTCCCAGCCACCGTGGCGTCCCCAATACAGCCAAACAAACGCAACCGGTCCAGACTAGACCCCCCGGCTCGACTCAACGTCGCATCCGAATGATCAAAAACCGAAACTAATAACGCATCAGGGCCGAAAGCGGCAGACAAAATTCCCGCTCCTTTGGTAGGCCCGAAGCCGCGGCTCGCCTAGCGTCTTGCGGCGGTGTGGGCGAGGGACTCCCGGGCTTCGACCCACGCGGGAGCGACTCGGCGCGGGGGGTTTGAGGGTGGAGTGTGGAGAGCGACTCGTACCGTCGGGTCGGAACTCGAACTCGAGGAATTCGTGGCCGAATTTCCCCTTGTGGCCCACGTAGTAGCGCAGGTAGAAGTCGCTGCTGCTGGACGCCATCACGGCCTGGCATGTGGGGTGGGGGGGTGATGGAGGGGGGTGGGGTTCCGCTTCCGGCCCAAGCCACGCCCACATCCGGATTGTGTTGCGTGTCTATGGATCTCTATGAGTCTCTGTATCTCAATGAGTCTCTGTGTATCTCTATGTATTTCTGAGTATATATCTCTATGAGTCTCTGTATCTCAATGAGTCTCTGTGTATCTCTATGTATTTCTGAGTATATATCTCTATGAGTCTCGGTGTATCTCAATGGGTCTCTGTGTATCTCTATGTATTTCTGAGTATATATCTCTATGAGTCTCGGTGTATCTCAATGGGTCTCTGTGTATCTCTGTGCATTTCTGAGTATATGTCTCTATGAGTCTCTTTGTATTTCTGAGTCCATGCATCTCTTTGAGTCTCTGTATCTCTATGTATTTCTGAGTCTACGTATCTCTGAGTCTCTGTGTATCTCCATGTCTCTGTATCTCTAGGAGTCTCTCTGAGTATGCATCTCTACGAGCCTCTGTGTATCTCTGAGTGTCTGTGTATCTATGAGTACGTATCTCTATGAGCCTCTATGTTTCTCTATACATCTGAGTCTCTGCATCACCGAGTCTCTATGCACCTCTATGAGTCTCTATGAGTATGCATCTCTACGGGCCTCTATGTATCTCTGAGTGTCTATGTATCCATGAGTACGTACCTCTATGAGTCTCTAAACATATCCGTGAGCCTCTATGTATCTATATGCATCTCTGAGTATCCATGTATCTCTGAGTCTCTATGCATCTCCATCAGTCTCTGTATCTCTACGAGTCTCTTCGAGTCTCTGTGTAAAGTTAGCGGCAGCCACGCCACCCCCCTCCCTGCTCTTCAATGTCCACTGAATCCGACGCCGCACAGTATTCTATCGTCTTAAGGGGCCGTCCATAAATGACGTCACGGACCTATGGGGCCGTCCATAAATGACGTCACGCGATTTTGGACGATTTTTGACACCCCTCCCCTCGTCACACGGCGTCACAAAAAGTCAGACCACCCCGTCACATGACGTCACAAAGCTCTGCCCCCTCCCCAAAAATATATAAAACATGCTTCAAATCGCTTTAAACTATTGTCATTGTAGTGCGTATTTAAAATGTGGCGCTGCACTCTGATGTTGTAGGAGAAAACATTTATTTAAAAAAGTCTATTTAATTAAGTAGAACGTGTTTAAATTTATTTAAAGTTGCGACTTTTGATGTGACGTCACATTTCTCAACCTCCCCCCCCCTCGTCACAAATGTCTGACCGCCCCCCCCCCCAGGTGCGTGACGTCATTTATGGACGGCCCCTGAATCTAATTTGACATTTAAAGAGAACCCCTGCACTCAAGGTGATGACGTGCTCCAAAGGAACGGTGGCGCGGAATGGGGCCATTCGGATGTGGCGGGGCGCGGTGCCACAACGGTGATTGGGGAATGAGTGAGAGCGGCGATTGAGGGGGGTGCTTAGGGGGTGACGAGAGGGGGCTGCAGGGGAGGGACGGGAAGGAGTGGATGAGGAGGTGAAGAGGGAGGGGGGAGCGGGCGATGGAGAAGAGGAGATGAGGCGTGAAAAGAGCTGAAGGTGATGAAGGAGGGACTGCTTCATGTATAGGGGCAGTGTTGAATCTGTGGGCAGTGTTGAGTCTATGGGCAGTGCTGAGTCCATGGGGAGTGTTGAGTCTATGGGCAGTGCTGAGTCTAGGGGGAGTGTTGTGCCTATGGGGAGTGTTGAGTCTACGGGCAGTGCTGAGTCTACGGGCAGTGTTGAGTCTACGGGCAGTGCTGAGTCTATGGTGCAGTGCTGAGTCTATGGGCAGTGCTGAGTCTATGGGGAGTGTTGTGCCTATGGGGAGTGTTGAGTCTACGGGCAGTGCTGAGTCTATGGGGAGTGTTGAGTCTATGGGCAGTGCTGAGTCTACGAGGAGTGTTGAGTCTACGGGGAGTGTTGAGTCTATGGGCAGTGCTGCTCTATGTACAGGGGAAGCTGATTCCAATGGAGGTGTGCTAGGAGGGAGGACCAGACACGGTATTGGATGCAGGGAGACGGAGACACAGAGAAACAAGTAGAGAGACAGAGAATATTGCGAACGAAGAGGAGGGGGGGGGCATAGAAGGAGATGGAGAGGGGCGGTGATGCCTCCGCGCGGTATTAACCAGTGCGGGCCAAGCCGGAGCCGAACCGCGAACCTCTGACAACCGAGCCGGCCGAGTGGCGCGCACGCCACTCGGCGGTGCCATCGCCGCAGGCGCACGCTCGCGAGAGACGCAATCCTTCAACGACACCGGAGACACCAAAAGGCTTTTATTACTTTAGCACGTACACATACATACGCTCTGCTGTCTACACACGTATGGATTAACGACGGGGATTATGTACACGCAATGTATCATACACGAATTTTTTTACACAGACAAAGCCGTTGGGCAGCACGCGGACCCGCGGCGCCTCCGGCACAAGCGCCGTTGTTTGGGATTGCCCATTAAGAGCGCGAGGGTGACGACAGAGAGAGCAAAAATCCCACACTCGTCCGCACGCACGTCCACCTTCGTCTCCCAGGCTTCCGACAATTAGTTGATCGATAGTGCCTCAAAGATCCCCACCTTGTAGCATTAACAAGACTCTTGGGAGTCCCCCAGTGGCGATGTTTGCACGCCAGGTACTCATTTGAGTCGACTTTGGGGGGTAGAGGCCCACGACCGGTTCAGGTGCACGTCGAACTTCTTCCCCACCGTCTGCAGCCAACCGTGCTTCATCGGAGGGTGCGGGGGAAGGACAACAAACTAAAGCACAAAAGGCAGATGAGCGTCACGCTGGTGTTGATGGCCGCGAGCGGGAATCTAACTCTTGCGGTGTTCGTAGCGCGGCGCGCTAACCGCTACCGCTCCCCAACCAATACAAGGATCCCCCGTGTAGGCTGAACAGACCGTTGGGGCAAGTGCCGTGAGCGAGCACGGCACACGAGGGGGTGGGTGGCTAACACCACGCCCGACAGCCTTTGTCTCCCCAGTGGCGATGTTTACATACCTCACCAGGTACTCATTTGAGGCCGAGTCGACCCAGGGGAGGCCCAGGACCGGTTCAGTTAATCGCCGTGGGCGGCAATCGAACTCGGGTCGCCGGGTTCGTAGCGCAGCGTAGCGCTAACCACTACCACGCTTCCGCTCCACACCTATACAGCCACACATGCACACGGCACGCATATACCTCAAGCAGTGGTTCTTAACCTCTGCTGCAGCCTTGCACCCCTTTGGCTCTCGATCGTAAAAAAAAAAGATGTAATACTCTAAATAAATTCATAGAGTTTGGTGAAACAAGTTGTTACTTAACGTGCACGTGCTTCAATTGTGTTTTCGATGATTTACCTTCTAAAAAAAAACAAAATCTGGCCACGTCTCGCACCGCCAGGGAGTGCGTACACCCCCAGGTTAAGAACCACTGGAACGAAAGTCACCAAATGCTCTGGTGAAACCAAACAAACTTGTCCATAACATAGAGGGTGCTTTGCTGTTAGATCGGTTCGAAGCGCAGCGCTAACCGCTCCCCGTCACCGAGCCACAAACGCCCACCGAAGTTTACGGGGGTCGAATCCACCCCCCCCATCCCTCCCGTTACCCACGCACACGAAACACACGAGATTAAAATATGTGGAAAGAACCCCCCCCCCCGTGTAGCCTCAACAGACCGTGTGGGGGCAAGTCAACTATGAAGGCCGGCACGGCACGCACGAGGGACGTGGAGTGGCCAGCAACCACGCCCGGCCGCCTTTGTCTTCCTAGCGGCGATGTTTACACACCGCAGCGGGTGCGGGGAGGCCCAGCACCGGTTAAAATAATCGTCACCCGTGGTGGCCGTGAACTGGAATCAAACTCGGCTCCCCGTAAAATAGGTGCTCGCTCGCGCACGCACGCACACACGCACGCACGCACAAAAGGCAACGGTAGCTTCTAAGGTGCAGCCAATTACACCAAGTGGACGCGCACGCTTCTAGCCAAAGTCATCGGGACATAAAGCACACGCGGTGGCGGCTGTGGGTGAAAGCGCGAGCTCATAAGACGGGATTATAATGACACAAACAAACAACAACAGACATAACATGTCATTAGCATCCGTAACCCAAGACGCGGCGAACCCAGTAACAGACTGTGGACAGAGGGACGGCGAAAAGGATTTCACAGATGCTCGGCGGCCACTTGCGAGCTTCCACGACACAAGAAACGCCGCCCTCCGCTATTTAAAGAATAACAGCAACCTCCCACTGCTTAAATTACAAATGTATCACCCGCACCTCCCCCCCGCTCCCCCCGCGTCCCACGCCTTAAGTCTAAACGCTAAGGTTACGCTCTCAAAAATACAGCGACTGCATCTCCTCCTCCTCCTCCTCCGTTCCGTAGACTCTCGTATTCTCCCTCACCGGCTAATCCACACCACGCCAGTTGGTTGTGTACGAAGACAAAGATCCCCACACCCCCCTCCTCCCCGCGTAGCCTTGACGGACCATCGGGGCAAGTGCTGCGAGCGAGTGGGCAGCACCTATGGAGGCCGGCGCGGCGAGGCGACTTCGGTGGCACGGCCATACAACCGCGCCCGACCGCCTCTGTCTCCCCGGTGGTGATGTTCACAAACTCACTCAAGGCCCAAGACCGCGGGATCAGATAACCGTCACCGCTTTCGGCCGCGGAGATGACAAATGGAACTCGGGTCGCCGGGGTTCGGAGCGCAGCGCGCTAACCACCGCGTCGCCGCTCTCCGCAAACACGGCACGCGCACGCGCCCCTATTGTACATCCTCAGTTTGTGTACACCACGATTGGCTGTTGTGGCTGTTGTGGGGCGGGGGGGGGGGGCAGGCAGGCAAGGGGTGGCCATTATCGGGACGGCGTTAAGGGACCCCCAGACCCCCCCCCCCCGCCCCCCCCCCCCCAATCGCTGCTGACGTTTTGGTGGTCAGGTTCACTGTCGTCGCAACGGCCTTAACCCTGGGCAGAACCGGCGGCGGGAGCCGCACATTTTTTCTATTTTATTGTGGTGGTCACGGTGGCCGCCGTGAAGC